GGTACAGATTCTATGGTGAAGCATTCGAGAACATGCAATATCTCGAGCAGGCTAGTGAGTTCCGGAAAGGGCTTCCACACTTCCCTAGCTGTCGTCTTTCCAACTCTTTCAAATTGCTATGTACTGTAGTGTCTGAGCTTGTCAGTTCATGTAATAAGGGAAGAGCAAGTCCCATTTTGAGCGAGCTGTGATACTAGCATGCGAATGGGGATACATTGGAAGTGTTTTGCAGTCCAAAATACCACCCATAGTTCCGACAATGATAGATCAGAGAACAATAAGATTGCGACAACTACGACATCAGTGTCCACTGTGCGAAGGTATGTTTTGTCATTGCCATGCCGATCTGCATGTTTGAGGTGGAGGATCCTCATCGTGTCAGTGTTATTCCATGTATTAAGATGTTGCACAGGAGGGCCAAATGGCACGGGTCTTGTGAAAGTATACAACATTTTAATAGTTAAATCGCTAAAATGTATATGTACAATACAAAAAGCGGACATGGGATTGGTTAACTTAATATAACGGTACTTTTAAGTACCTGGGAGTATAGGTAACAAACAACAAATGGAGCAAATTCATTGACTATTTCAGAAAGATGGCTAGGGTTCACATTTCAAGATTTTACATTACACATAATGAATTAAAGTAATTTACTGTGAATAATAATGTCAGTGTGGCACTTTGCATGACAAATGATTAATTAATATAACATATATTCGTGTACATTACGGTACATCATAATCTGGATATTGAACATTCAAAGTTCCTGGTTCATCTCTTCAAACAAAGCTACAGTCAAAACAATCTAATCCTTACATTCTCTATTCATAAATATTACACAATTACACAACCAATGGTCAACTAAGGTAATCACTAGAGCAGTACTGATATACAAAACCTGAGTAAGTGGTCACCAAGCTTATCAAATGTATGTCTGCCTTCGTTAAAGTCCTGACCGTGTCTGTGTCCTCACCGGCAGCCCGACTGAGAAATCCCAAACCTATCAATATTTAGTGTGAAACTTAATTTGGCTCGTCCTCTACACAAGTCTCAACTATTTTTAACACATTTGTCTTAATACATTACTTTATATAGAGAATTGTATAACAACAATCTCAGAAACAATAACATAATATAGCAACAACATCAGATACAATATCACCTTATATCAGTACACTTTACATTCATAACATTTGAAATTCTAACTTTAAACCCAACCGCTAAATCGAGTAAGCATACGAGCACACACGTAGGTAACTACTCAACTACTTGTAACAGTCAGCTTCTTGATGGTTACACAGTTCCAGACTTTCCGTGTCACAGGGTAGTTGTTTGAGGACTTTTTCTACTTATTCAAGAGTGTGAAGTGTTCCGTTTTGTTTTCTGCATTTTTAAGGATGGCACTCGACTCTTTTTGGTTGATGGGCATGTTGGAGTAATTTTTTCCTTGGATCAACAGAGGCATGAAATCTTGCAAATGGCACTAGCTGCTTCTCTATATATACATCGATGTTGCAGCTCCAGCTGGTTTCCCGTTGAGCCTTTCGAAGTTTTCAGGATAACGGACTTCATACCAGTTCGCAAACGAGTAGCAACAGCTAATGATGTTTTTTTTTTCATACATGAAAAGCTCATCAATACACACAGGTGGTCGTGATTACAGGGATAGGAACAACTGAGTGACCAAGACCGAGTTGTGTTTGAGACCTCGACCTTTTACACCTTTCTGTTGGTCTGGTACGTGTACTGTCCATTACAATGGATAGTTTAATACTTTAAGTGATGGCATTTGAGGCATCACTGAAGTGTGTCTTGACGACATCGTTGTACATGGCAGATCCGATCTCATGAGCATCTCTTAACAAGTTGGTCACACATTCATCTAGACCTTATTTAATCCAAGGGTAGTAAGGTAAGAACTTGTCATAGAGCTTGTGTGCTATAGGCGGTTGTGGAGTCATTATACTATCAGATAAATATGACCTTGGCCTTGAATAATCATGTGAGAGTGACCTTGAATCATTCCAAAACATAGTTATATCCAGCCGAAGATCATCAAATTTGGCAAGGCAGTTTCAGGAATTGAGCGATATTGGTACTTTAGGGTAAGAAATGACCTTGATCTTATCATGTGACCTTGACCTCGAAACATTCCAAAATATAGTTAGATTGATCGGGCATCCTCAAAACTATCAGAAACGAGCTTGAGATATGACATTTTATGGTTTGGTCTGTGGAATCGAGGCGGCCATTTTGAATTAATTGAAAATGGCCGCCAGAGTGAAGTCCCACCATAGAAATGTTTCTATGTGGCTAAATGTAACTTCATGTCAAATTTTACACTTTCTGCAAGATCTGAACGAATTGGTTGTATTTTTACATTTACCCATCCCACTATGTAGGTGATGGCAGCCAGAGGTTGCCAGCTCTCTTGTAAGGGCGGTGGTGTCATTGAAGAGATCACTCTTTGCATCGCCAAACTTGTTAGTGGTGACGATGACTGTACATCTAGGCCGGATGGGCCTGCTCCTCCCTCCCCCCGTGTCTCCAGCGCTTTTTTCCACATCATTCCTCCTGTTATTTTCTCGAACATAACAGCGCCCGGAGGGACATAAGCACCATGGAACCTGATGCCTTCCTCTTTACTTGCGTGGGAATGCATTGGCTTCAGTAGTTGTATGATCCGTCTGTTTACTGGCAGCACACCGCTGGAAGATTCCTCTGTGAGAGATATTACCGCCGAAGGCACTTTTCCTACACACATCTCATTGCCAAACTTTCTGGGAGCATCCTCAGTAGCTTGTTTTCCTTCACCTGTAAATTTCAGCCTCTCCTGCAATGTGTTTGCCTCGCATAGTTGATCATCATCTTCATTGGAGCCACATTTTCCCTGCACTTACTCCTTGCATGTATTCTCTAGCAAAATAGATGGGGTATTATTGCCAGTATATGGAGAGCTATTTTGGCCAGGGAGATGTCGTAAGTATCAGGTGAGTGATCTCCCTTATTATTTCTGGAGGCATTTAGGTGGCTTAAAGTGGTTAGTTGGGGACCATCGGGTAACTTCTGAGAAGGCTCCTTTGACCCACGTTTCTGCCTCTTCCCCCGACATGGCTTTCCAATGTGTTGACTGTGTGCCATTCACCTCATGTATGTCTCCTCTTGTTGGCTCAACATTTTCAGGCTGAGTGGGCACACTGCTATCGCTGCTATCGTCCCTTTCCTTCAACTCACACAACAGTGTATATTTCTCACACATACGAGTATACAGATTGTGTATTTTTGTACAAGCCAGAACAGATACACTGGCAAGTTTCCTGTGGCGTTACGCGCTAGCTAGGGAAGGATATGGGAGGATTGGAGATGAATGGAGGGGGAAGTATAACTAAAAGGAGTGTGGGAGTGTGAGAGAGGGGGAGAGAAGGAGGGCTTTAGGCCGGGCCGGGTGTGTACACTCATAGCAAACAACTTGCTGGGCTTTGACTGTGTTAAGGTGTGACTCTATCCTGTTGATGGCATCTATAATTTTCACATACCACATCAGATATGTCGGCAATAGCGAGGTAGTAAAGGCTGGCATTGAGGCAGTGGAATATTGGGGAGGCAGGTAGTGTGGGGTAGGTTAGTGGGAGACGGGTGGACAGCGGGTTAGGCCAGAGGCGGCTGGCGGCTAGAACACTTGACCGGCTCAAATTACAAGCCACTGCCCTGTTTGGCACTTGACGACACCAAAGACAGTCAATTAGACTAGGGAAATATTTATAAGATAAAACTGTGATATTTTATTGTGCAGTGCTTGGTTCTTTGGCTAGTATCATATAATATTACGGACCACAGTGTTTATTTATTTTATTTTATTTATTTTTTCTGCTCAGGATCCACATCTAAAGTTTTGAAGAGAAAGTTGAAATTGGCAGGAATATACGGTGTAATATTATTATTATTATTAATATTATTATTATTATTATTATTATTATTATTATTATTATTATTATTATTATTATTATTATTATTATTATTATTATATTATTATTATTATTATTATTATTATTATTATTATTATTATTATTATTATTATTATTATTATTATTATTATTATTATTATTATTATTATTATTATTATTATTATTATTATTATTATTATTATTATTATTATTATATTATTATTATTATTATTATTATTATTATTATTATTATTATTATTATTATTATTATTATTATTATTATTATATTATTATTATGATTATTATTATTATTATTATTATTATTATTATTATTATATTATTATTATTATTATTATTATTATTATTATTATTATTTTTATTATTATTATTATTATTATTATTATTATTATTATTATTATTATTATTATTATTATTATTATTATTACAATAAGGGATAAAGAATATGAAATTATGGTTCGGGACTATGCCCCTAAATATAAAAAGTACCAACGGCATAATTATAGTGCACGTGAAAGAGAGAGAGAGAAAGAGAGAGAGAGACTGGTTGAGTATGACGTATAAGGAAATAGGTTAGAGATAGACAGATACGCTTATGTTAAGAGACAGAATTAGACTGAGAGATACAGACCGATAGGCTGACTGCAAGTCAGGGACGGATGGAGAGGGAGAGAAAAAACCCACTTAACGATATAAATTGTTAACAAGGTAGAAAAAGAGATAACTGGAGAGATATAGAGACAGTGAGTTAGACAAACCACGATGGAGAAGTGTGTGTCCGGCTCTCATACAGGCAGAGAAACGAACCACCGAGGAATGTTCACAAATACTTCTGTGTTTTCCGTTAAATCATCCATGAAGTTAAAAGATACATTTAGAAAGAGTTATAGCGTGCCATAGCATTGACGTCAATACTTTGAACGTCTCTCATTGGTCAGAGGCGTGAGAACCTAGGAGAGAGAGAGGGAGGGGGGGATTGTGGGGGGGGGCCGTCTCGTGGCTGGTATATAAGACACGGCGGACTTTGCTTCCAGCAGAGTTTTCCGAAAAACGTCCAGCTTAAAACATCTTTCTTCATAAAATTCTTCTCGCCAAATTTTCGGTAAGTCTGTGGCATTACACAAACTGTCATTTTTCTGTAAAGGTAGAGTTTTCCTGATGGAAGTTTTATTTAGATTAATTTACGTTATATTGTGGAATCGAAGCGTTTTGGGTGTGGCTGGAAGTATTTAATGTCGGGCTGATACTTATACAGTATATTTTGTGTTGGTTTACGTAGAGGATGAGATCTTTGCAATATTTTCCTTACGTACAGAATGAGAATGTTATTATCTGGCCTGGTTATTGGTCTGACTTTCCGTGTGTCATCCAGCAGCTTCTTCAACACTAATGTTTCTGAAGACTGCAGGTGCATGAAGAGTATTACAGTAAGAACCAAGTGTGTAGTGCAAGAGTGTTGACTTTTGTAAGCTATAGAGTTGTCTAGTGTTGTAAACACTGAGTGACTGAGGAGTATTTTGACTGAAGTGTACGGTGTTAAAGCTTCTTTAGGTTCATAAAATGTGTGACCGCCTAAAATTATGATAACACTGGGGAGAATGATGAACTTTAAGAAAGAAGTATGTGTTGTGTAGGGTGTGTTAAGTTAATGAACTGTGCTGACCTCTTGCAAAATGTAAACAACAGGAGTGGATGAAGTAAGGAGTTATATAAATGGAAAGTGTTGGGTTTGGTTTCGTCTGTAGAGACAGCATAGCATGTTAAGGAGATGATCAAGTGACATCTTGATAATGAAAATTAATATATTCCTTACTCTTTTGGAAGTGAATGGAGGTACGGTCCTCTCCACTACAGCCTTTACAGTTTCTCGTAAGGTTTTGTTCAGTGTGACAACCCTGTGTTTGTTTACAACCGACAGAAGGAAACTGACAGTAGTAAACAGACTATTGAATCAAAATAATAAAACAATATTAAAACAAATATCTCAAAGATAGTGATTTTTGGAATGTTTTTTATGATGAGATCCTGTAAACGGACTAGTGAAAGGGGACTGTCCATCTGTTGTCATCCTTGTAGTAAATAGAGACAGTGAGCTGTAGTCATATCCTGTTTTTTGAGTAGAGAAAGTGAGCGTGTCTGTTGCCTTTAGTTACCATAGGAAAAGATTGTGTATTTTGCTACTGACGTATTGTGGTGTCACGGAAGATGTTGATGCATATTACAAATGCCGACGATTTAATGAACTGGTGTTATTGTACCATAGTAATTGTTACAATTAAATTCTGGTAGTTGTTGTAGATATCACACCAGCATTGGTTTGTGATGACGTGTACATATTGGAGAAAGCAAAGTTAAGTGGTGTGGCTCCTTAGAAGGTGTTGCAGATGGCGTAGTGACGAGAGGTTGTGGTACTGGAGTGTCATGTGGACTTGTGGGTTGTTGTTGCAGCCCACACTGGTGATGGTAAGGGAGCGTGTGACTGGGGGCGCCCTGCTACTGCTGCGTTTCGTCAGCACCTCCTGCCTGGTCCACCTCACCCATGGCCTACTACAGGTGCCAGACCCCACCACCCATCACTTCTTCCATCACCCTTCACTGTGAGTAGTGCTTCGTGTTCACCTCTCTTCTCCCCCATTCTCGTGTTCAGGTAGAGGTGTTCTCTGTTGCCTATATTCTAATGATCTAGTTAACGCGTCACTCTTCCTCTTCTGGTAGAGCTCTCATATACAGTAAGTGTCCTCAACCTCTGTCTCTCTCTCTAGTTAATCTTCTGTTAATGGTGTTTAATTCTCTGGTTAACGTTCACCTTCATTAATCATGAACAAGCACCAGTATAATTTCCACTTTCATTCTTCTCTCTTCCTTTACCCCCTGTGCATATTACCTTCAATAATGTTCAGTGTTCTTACAAGCTTTCAATTCATCATCAGTTTAAATAATTTAATTTTGAAACTGAATAGAAAAAACACCTATAAAGTTAGGCCAATTCACGTAATTTAAAGGATGTATTTAAATAACTCACCCATCTACTTACTTACTTATTTATTTAAGATTTATTTAAGATTTATTCCCAACTAGTTTAACACAAGTAAAAAAAATTGTTTGTCTCCGAGGATGATTGCTTTACTCTTTGAAAAGGGTAGTTTAAACCTGCGGAATTATTGTTTTTTAACTCTTAGAAGACAATGGTTTATCCTTTTTACAAAGATAGATTAGACTGTGAGCCTTAGAGGCTTAGATTTATGAGGTTTTAACATTTAATTGTGATGATACACACCATAGTCATCCAATGATTAAGCAATCGACATGTTAGAGTTAACCATCGTCCTCAAAGAGTAAACTATTGCCCTTCAAGGGTTAAACCATAGTTCCCCAATGGTTAAGCCATAGTCCTCCAAGTGTTTAACCATCGATTTCAAAGGGTTAAGCCATCGTTTTACAATGGTCAAACTATACTTCTCCAAGGCTTAAAATCATCGACTTCAAAAGGTTACACCATTGTACTGAAAGGGCTAACAAGTAATCGGTACAACATGTACAAAACAGAACCCAAACATCATCACTAATCCACATTTCCAGGCCCGGTGGTTCCGACCCTGTTGAGGACAACAATGCACCTGGCGACCACGTCAACATCTGGGAAACTTCGCCAGGGTCTCAGGATGCCTCTGGTCGAAGACATCGTGACCCGAGTGTTCGTCGTCTGGTAAAAGGAAAAGAATTCGAAGAGCGAGGCCAAGGGGTCAGAGGGGCACTTGTCGACAATCGACTTACGAGGGACAGTGATGTCGAGGTTCGTCTGGCTGGTCGACGAGACAGATATTCTGATGGTCGCTATGCAGTTCGTGTTGCTGAAGGCCGTAGTTTTGATGCCCGACTTTCTGAAGGCCACCAACTTCATGTCCGACGTGCTGAAGGCCGCCGAATTGATACACGACTTGCTGAAGGACGAGGACTTGATGCTCGACTTGTTGAAGGCCGCCGCCTTCATGTCCAATACGATAAAATTCGAAGACTTGATGCCCGACTTTCCGAAGGTCGACAACTTCACGACCGAATTGGTGAAGAGCGATATCTTGATGCCAGACAAGTCAAAGAGCAACGACTACTCAACAAGATCGCTGAACGAAGACTGTTCGTCCATAAAAGATCTGATACACACCTTCGTGGTGGACAATTTATTGATAAACAACCTGACGCAAGGAAGGCTGAAGAACGTCGTCTTGACACAAAGAGAAATTCCGGAGAACGTCGCCTTGACACGAGGAGGAACTCTGAAGAACGGCGCTTTGACACAAAGAGGAACTCTAAAGAACGACGTCTAGACACAAGCAGGAACTCTGAAGAACTTCTTCTTGACACAAGGAGGAACACCGAAGAACGACGCCTTAACACGAGGAGCAACACTGAAGAACGACGCCCTGACGCAAGGGGGAACTCTAACGAACGTCGCCTTGAGACAAGGAGGCGCTCTGAAGAACGTCGCCTTGACACAAAGAGGAACTCTGAAGAACGACGCCTTGACACAGGAAGGAACACTGAAGAACGGCTCCTTGACACAAGGAGGAACACTGGAGAACAACGCATTGACACAAGGAGAAACTCTGAAAATCGGCGGCTTGACACAAGGAGGAACTCTGCAGAACGACGCCTTGACACAAGGAAGAACACTGAAGAACGACGCCTTGACACAAGGATAAACTCTGAAGAACGCCGCCTTGACACAAAAAGGAACTCTGAAAAACAACGCCTTGACGCAAAGAGGAACACTGAAGAACGGCGCCGTGACACAAGGAATAACAGTGAAGAACGACGCCTTGACACAGAGAGGAACTCTGAAGAACGTCGCCTTGATACAAAGAAAAACATTGAAGAAAGTCGCCTTGATACAAGGAAGAACACTGAAGAACGTCGCCATGACACAAAGAGGAACTCTGAAGAACGACGCCTTGACACAGGAAGGAACACTGAAGAACGGCTCCTTGACACAAGGAGGAACACTGGAGAACAACGCATTGACACAAGGAGAAACTCTGAAAATCGGCGGCTTGACACAAGGAGGAACTCTGCAGAACGACGCCTTAACGCAAAGAGGAACACTGAAGAACGGCGCCTTGACACAAGGAATAACAGTGAAGAAGGACGCCTTGACACAAAAAGGAACTCTAAAGAACGACGCCTTGACACCGGAAGAATCACTGAAGAACGGCGCCTTGACACAAGGGAGAGCTCTGAAGAACGACACCTTGACGCAAGGAGGAACTCTGAAGAACGTCGCCTTAACACAGGAAGGAACTCTGAAGAACGTCTCCTTAACACAAGAAGGAGCTCTGAAGAACGTCGTCTTGACACAAAGAGGAACTCTGAAGAACGACGCCTTGACACAGGAAGGAACAGTGAAGAACGGCGCCTTGACACAAGGGCTAACTCTGAAGAACGTCGCCTTGACACTAGGAGGAAGTCTGAAGAACGTCGCTTTAGCACACGGAGGAACTCTGAAGAACGTCGTCTTGACACAAGGAGAGCAGAAGAACGTCACCTTGACACGTGGAGGAATACTGAAGAACGTCCCATTGACACAAGAAGGAATACTGAAGAACGTCGCCTTGACGCAAGGAGAAACACTGAAGAGCGTCGCTTTGACGCGTGGAATAATGCTGAAGAACGGCGCCTTGATACAAGGAAGAACACCGAAGAACGACGCCTTGACACAAGGCGTAACATTGAAGGACATCGCCTTGACACAAAAAGGAACACTGAAGAACGTCACCTTGACACAAGAAGGAACACCGAAGAACGTCGCCTTAACACAAGGATGAATACTGAAGAACGTCGCTTTGACACAAGAAGGAACACAGAAGAACGTTGCCATGACACAAAGAGGTACAGTGAAGAACGTCGCCTTGACACAAGAAGGAATACTGAAGAACGTCCCCTTGACACAAGAAGGAATACTGAAGAACGTCGCCTTGATACAAGGAGGAATACTGTAAAACGTCACATTGACACATGGAGGAATACTGAAGAACGTCGCCTTAACACAAGAAGGAATACTGAAAAACGTCGCCTTGACGCAAGGAGGAATACTGAAGAACGTCGCGCTGTCACGAGAATTAATACCGAAGAACGTACTCTTGACACAAGAAGGAATACTGAAGAACGTCGCCTTAACACAAGAAGGAATACTGAAGAACGTCGCTTTGATACAAGAAGGAATACTGAAGAACGTCGCCTTGACACAAGAAGGAATACTGAAGAACGTCGCCTTGACACAAGAAGGAATACTGAAGAACGTCGCTTTGATACAAGAAGGAATACTGAAGAACGTCCCCTTGACACAAGAAGGAATACTGAAGACCGTCGCTTTGATACAAGAAGGAATACTGAAGAACGTCCCCTTGACACAAGAAGAAATACTGAAGAACGTCGCCTTGACACAAGGAGGAATACTGAAGAACGTCGCGCTGTCACGAGAATTAATACCGAAGAACGTACTCTTGACACAAGAAGGAATACTGAAGAACGTCGCCTTGTCACAAGGAGGGATACCGAAGAACGTCTCCTGAACAGTAGGAAAGCTGAAGAACGGGGCCTTGACACAAGGAGGAATATAGAAAAACGTCGCCTTGACACAAGGAGGAATACCGAAGAACGTCGCCTTAACAGTAGGAGAGCTGAAGAACGGCGTCTTGACACAAGGAGGAATACTGAGGAACTTCGCATTGACACAAAAAGGTACAGTGAAGAACGTCGCCTTGACACAAGAAGGAATACTGAAGAACGTCGCCTTGACACAAGGAAAGCTGAAGAACGTCGCCTTGAGACAAGGAGGAATACTGAAGAACGACGCCTTGACACAAGGAGGACAACGGAAGAACGTCGCCTTGACAAAAGGAGGAATACTGAAGAACGTCGCCTTGTCACAAGAAGGAATACTGAAGAACGTCGCCTTGACACAAGGAGGTATTCTGATGAACGTCGCCTTGACACAAGGAGGAACACTAAAGAACGTCTAATTGACACAAGGAGGAACACTGAAGAACGTCGCCTTGAAACAAGAAGGAATACTGAAGAACGACGCCTTGACACAAGGCGGACAACAGAAGAACGTCGCCTTGAAACAAGGAGAAATACTGAAGAACGTCTCCTTGACACAAGGAGGAATACTGAAGAACGTCGCCTTGAAACGAGGAGGAATACTGAAGAACGTCGCCTTGACACAAGGGGAGTTGAAGGTCGTCGTCTTGACACAAGAAGAGTTGAAGGTTGTCTCTTTAACCCAAGGAGCTGTGAAGGCAGTAGCCTTGACACAAGGAGAGCGGAAGAATGTCGCTTTGACACAAACAGGAAGGTTCCTGGAGAGCTGCTGCTTCAAGGCTACAAGTTGTCCGTGGCGCCAGTTTCCTCCTTGTTGGAAGTAGCACCCAAGACACAGCACCCTCACTCATTGTTAGACGATGTCACCTTTATGAAGTCCCAAGTGAGTACTATACCTTTATCTGGCCACACATTGTATGAATGTTGTTTCATAATTATGTAATTTCTGATGTTCACACCTTTATCAGAAAATATGAAAAGCATCTCCTCCTGTTCATCATAATTTAGGGTTGTGATGGCTACTTAGTATCATGTCTGGTTCTTGTCTTCAGCCTTCTGCCTTCATGGACTCAGCCGCCTTCCAGTCCACACATCCTTATTTACCGGTGGAGGAACACAAGGACGAGAAGTGAGTCTGACAGTTTTGTCTATTAAACCCAAAATACTGTTACAATTTTGATGATTTAGCGTCATGTCTTTATATTACCTGTACGTTCGTATTCTATATATTTTATTTAATGAATATTTCAAGATTACATTTCAGATGATCAAAGTTGGTAATGAAACTGAACATTAGGTCTGAGCGCATCATTACAAACGTTTTCTTTAGTAATACACACATATACACATAATGGTTGCCCCTCGTGGACGAGGATGGCAAGCTCAATGGGCACCAATGCGTGAATTTGTGTAAGGTGTAGAATCTGTCGTCAAGACAACAAGAAGACCTTAAGTTAACGATTATCATGACTCAGTGTTAAGGAATAGCCCAAGAAGACGGATAGCTCTCCAACTGACTAACCCTTACCCCGGAACACGAGCCGCATATCGATTAATATCCAGGTTCCCAATTACTGCTGGGTAGACAGAGGCAAATGCGGTAAAGAAAGTTGCCCCTAGTTTCATCCTGCCAGGAATCGAACGCAGGAGTACTTGCTTTCTGTGCAAGCCTGTTGACCATATCACCACAGGTCACACAACATACATAATAATAATAATGGAAGCGCCCCTCGAAATCGAGCATGGCAGGCCCAAGGGCCTCCTAGGCGTGAATTTGTTAAGAAGCTGTTGCCAACACAACAACCACACCCTAAGTTAACGAGCTGCATGGCACAATGTCACGGAATAGTCCGAGAAGACTGGAGAGCTCGCCAACTGCACTGGCTAACCATTACCCCGGAATACGATCTGTAAATCGTTTAACATCCAGGTTCCCAATTACTGCTGGGTAGATAGAGGAAAATGGCGTTAAGAAACTTGCCCATAGTTTAACCCTGCCAGAGGATCGAACTTGGGTCCGTTCGCTTGCAAGGCGAGGATGCTGACCATTACACCACAGATCTCCATGATAATATAAGTATATACATACACACTTGAAGCCACACTTATATACACATGCACACATACATATACAAATAAACAAATTTACACATACAAACCCATGTGTACATAAACAAGCACAGTATCGTGACAACATTGAGCCCTTGATAAGACTTGTTAGGTATGTTTGTAGTTACTAAATTTTAAGACAGATGATTTTATTACGAAGTTGAAAATAAAATGTACGGTACATACACTATAATGGCTTTAAAGTGTAACTAACATTAATTTTGTCTCCGACCTGGTGTTCAGTGAACGTGTCTAGTTAAAAGGTAAAGCCCTAGAATAATTGTGATGCAAGTTTTGGTGTGTTTTTCTTTTTACATCTAAAGTTAATGTGTTATTTAATGACTTAACACCTTAAGTTACAGTATGAGCAATATTTATCGTCGGGACCATTGCGAATATTGACCCTGAATGTGTTGTATTTCAGGTGTGTGGGGGATTTCCTTATGACGGGATTGTGGACGGGTCTGGCTACTATGGCCCTCTACCACGCCCGCAACACCCACGCCTCCAAGCTGGCCGTGTTCTAGGTGCCACGCCAATACCCCAACACGTTTTGTGCAACACAACACGTCAGCTGCTCTACTGGACCATATCTAAACTTACATAGGATTCGATTTTCCTACTATATATGATTACTTCGAGAGGCATATTTAGTATGTACCAGTATTGTATACAGACCTACTCTGTTATACGCCAAATATCACCTTTGAAATTCATCCCAAGTTGATTTTTCTTTCATCACTGTGCTCACAATACCCCAAACCCGAGAGACACCGAGGCTTCCTGATGCGCACTTCATACTTCACCTGACATTGTTTTGTTATTGATTGTTCTCTGTGTCTGACGGAACCAAACTTCATTGCCTTGCAACTCCCTATGGTGTTTATATCTAAAGTTTTCCTAATAATATTTTTCTAACTCACTACTTATTGGGAGATGAATAATTTTGAAGGTATAAGGACTTAATGATTTTTTGACTGCCTTTTTTAAGTTTCCAGTAAGTTAATGTTTACATTAAGAAAGTCTGAAACAACAGTATTGTATAAGGATTATGACTTAGTAATTCCTCGAAGGTTCAATTTACTTTTGTATAAAAACATTAATGTGTTAAACAAAGGGGCGTATCGTAAACTGCGCGCTTTATAACCATTCAGAGGTTCTAAAAGCAATAGTTGTGTTAAGTAAACGGTAAATTATTCTTGTTACTATTCGTTTGCTGCCCATTGTTGAAGTGAACACGAATCATCACCAGTCTCACGTGCTTTATAACGTCACATTCATCAATTTGATTCACATCTTCATTACAATTTTTTAAAGAACATCTTAAATATTGCTATCCCGTTTTCTATTCAATACCGGCCGCCACGAGAACGACTCCTGCACGATTTTCGACGCTAAACGGCTGATGACGTTCCCAAAAGGTCGGAACAACTCTCTCCTGCACCTGACTTCACTTTCACTATCCCCAGGTCGCTGTATGCGCACCTGGAACCAGTATAATCATCTTTACATTGTCTATTGAAGACATTGGTCAATATCATAGTCAATAAAAGGATGTAGAGTTGTTGTTGGTCTTTAATGTTAGATAATGTAGTAATTCGTGTACTTTAGGATTGATGTAACTCGCCGTAAGACTAGAAAGATACTTCTTGTACCTGGGGTATGCTTGCAATCTGGCACTCTCTATTGATGTGATCTCTTGGGGACTACTTATCTGTCCTTGAGAATAGTATATGCATGCTTATAATAATAGCTACTGTACAGCGCATATATGGTATACAATAAAATGGTGCCACGTCAAAAATTTAGTTGTTGAACCTTGTCTGTTGTATTTAAGGAGCCATGGTTTGATGTGAGAATTCATGTAAATGGCTCTCTTCAGCTTTTAATTTTGATGAATTCTTAAAGGTTCTTAATGTTCAACTTTACCTTAGGTAAGAATGTGAAAATTTATTCATCCTGTCTCACCAGCTAAAAGATCATGTGAATTCCCAAAGGCTATTAATTTAAAAAATTCCCTTAACTGAAGATGTAAGAATGTGTTAACACTGATCACGTTCGTCATAGTCGACACAAATACACCATATAAAACGACGTCGTAATTGTACCATGACTTTATTTGTACTTGAGTGGCAAAACTTGATGTTAGAATATTTCAATATCTTAACCCACCTAGTTACGAGGTGTCAACCTGTAAATGATAAACGGAATACATATTCGTGTCGTAACTATGATGATATTCTTTCGTCACCAGCAAAGAAAAAATACACGAGTTTCTAAGAATTTAAAACCAATTCAATGTGAGGGGAAACTTGGACTTTTCATCACTGTGAAATTCATGATCTTATAACTGAAAAAAAGCAAAAGCGCAACAGGATGGGTAAATTATCAGTGTGTGGAGGTGAGGTTTGACACCATATGAGTGATGCTCACCTGAGGTGGGCATGAAGTGAGTATTGATCAGCTGAAGCGAGCAACAAGTGAGTGGTGGTACAAATGACGTGAGACCAGGTACAGAAAGTGGTGATCAGCGAAGGTTGGTACCAAGTTAATGGTCACCAGGTGTAGTGTGCAGCAAGCTTAATAATGAAACTACTACTTCTAATACTACTACTACTTTTACTACTATTACTAGTAGTCGTACTGAACGGAAGCAGCAGCGCTGATGTTACGTTACATTCTGGTTGAGATGTCGACTGTCCTTCTTTCCGCTTAGGTCTGCATATGTCTGCATCAAGGGAACGAGATCATCGGCCACAAAGCCGACAACGGTCGCAGATATTGACTATGAGGCAACAGTTACTTAATGCCTTATACTGTAGAACTGACGCTCAACTAACTCAACATAGCTAGGGTAGCTATTTTTGTATTAGGATATTAAATTTTAAGGCAATAAAATGGTTGCGAGGGTGTGGCTATTTGGGGAGGCTGGAGGCCTCGTTAAAAAAAATCAATAACTCCTACTACTACTACTACTACTACTACTACTATTTTGTGTTTTTAAAGCCTCCAACCTCCCATTAAAGCCACACTTTCACCACGATTTTATTACCTAAATATCATAATGTGAAAGTAACTACCCTTGCTGAGTAAGTTAGGCCGCAGATGTATGCGGTATTCAGTGACTGAGTCTTCATAGTTAATTTCTTTGAATGTTGTTGGCTTAGGGCCGATGATCTTGTTTCTCTTAGGCAAAGCAATATAGACTTAAGTAAAGAGAAAGACAGACGACATCTCAACCAGGCTGCACCTTTAGCTTCTCCGCTGCTCCTTCTGTTCAGATAACACCTCGGCCAGTCTTGTGTAGAAGCATCATGCACTTGGTTCCATCCCGCCAGACGTTGTGAACATCAAAAGAGTGAAGCTACCTTGATCCACATTCTGAATTCTCGTCACACATGCCCTCTTCTTGTTGTTTTCGTTCCTCTTCTGTGCAGCTTTGAGAGAAACATCACGGTGAAATGCGGCCTTGAGGTCGAATATCCTGATATCAAAGAAAGCTCGTTGTTCGTGCGTCCAGAATCCTCAAGCACTGACGTCCACTCGGGCTTCATTGAACGTGTTCGAAGTCCAGTAATGGATATTTTAACCGTCCAATGGAAAAAGGGACGGTTTCACCGTGACGTCGTGGCAGATTTCTTCCAGCATATTCGCTGTGAGATCCCTTACTTCGTCATGCCTCATGCATACGAAGACACCCTTCTTGCACACAAGGCGTGGTCATTGTCGTAGGATGAGCTGCACAGACATTGGGTGGGCATACCTTCTCCTGCAGGACAACCATACTTTAGAGCAATTGCATCTGTAAATTGCTGCATCAATTCTTGAAGTTTATCACTTTGGGTGTGCTGCCGTTCTATCGTAATGAAACGTCGAATCTTATTGAATTCATTGGTATCTACCTCACTTATTGCATTTTTAGCGACTATATTTTCAGTGAGGGCAGCCGTGAGCTTGATAGAGTTCTGATGTTCAGTGGCAGCAAGCTCCTCTGGATTAGTAATTCCCATTCCTTCCAGTGTTGGTGGTAGTGCAAGGAGTCACCTTTCTGCTGGGATTAAGTGAAGGCTTCCCACTAGAGCTGGAGTAAAAGCGATCGTGATGGCGTCTTCCAGAGGGTGGAGGGTGGTATTGGGGATAGTGTGGATCAGGTAGCTCCAGCGATGCTTGACTCTGTGGGTGAATGCCGCAAACACCACATGTGGCTCAATTTTAGCAATGTCAGGCAGAGCTTGGATTTCGTTCACCCACTCAATTACCTTTCCCATTACGTGATCGATTTTGAAATTATTCGTGCCGATTACCGCAGCTAGATGTCTTTGACAATACTTTGTTTCTTATCTCACTTCCGTTGAAGATCTCTATAGCGCTATCATGGTATACGGGTTTTACATTGAGGAAGGACTTGCTGACATTTGGGTGGTGCACCTTTTCTGGACCACGCAATATTACCAGGTCCCACCACTTTTTGATGTCCTCCACCTTTCCTGCTCCTGTAAGGTAATCAGCATATGTCACTTGCTTGATCTTGGTTGTTTCATAGTTTATTGACTATTGGAGCACGGATAGGCCTAGTGCGTAGATTGCCAATGTGACTGGGTCCCCTTACGTTGTTTCCTCAGTTGACTGTATGGTGGTATCGCCTCTTAGGGCCTTGAAGGTAGGACACATATTCTTGATGTTGTGCAGTGAAAGCTTGCAGTTGATTATGTTGAATGCATTGCAAGCATCAACCACGAGTACAGCATCATAAGTAGGATGCTCTAATATCTTCCTCATAGTGTGAATGGCAGCTTAACCCCCACTCTGGTGGCCAGCACATACTTGCAGGTTCCCTGCTGCTGCCCTTACATCATCATAACAAGCCTCCATTACGCATTTTCCAATGATTCGTCGTAGCACTTAACCCAGCCCTACAGGCCTGTATCCAGGATTTATGTCCAGGTGGATGAGGTAGTTTGGCTGTAAGAGCTTGTTAGTAGGGTGGATTAATGCAAAAATCGTTCAGATCTTACAGGAAGTGTGAAATTTGGCATGAAGTTACCCTTTGCCACAAATAAATATTTCCAGGGTGGGAAAATGCTGGGACTTCACTCTGGTGGCCATTTTGAGCAAATTCAAAATGGCCGACTTGATTCCTCAGCCCAAACCATAAAATACCATATCTCAGGATCGTTTCTTATTGTTTTAGGCATGCCTGATCAATCTAGCTGTGTTTTGGAATGTTTCGAGGTCAAGGTCACATGATAATTTAAGGTCAATGTCATTTTTACTCTCAAATACCTCTATTGCTCAATCTCTGAAACTTCTGGGAAAAAATTGATTATCTTGACTTGTTTATTATAGTTTTGAGGATATCTGATCGAAATTACTATAATTTCGGAATGATTCAAGGTCACCATTGCAAGACAATTCAAGGTTCATGGCTAAAGTCGTTAGTAAGTCAGAACTTCGCGGTTGTAGATGCAGTACTTGTTTGGTTTGAAGTTGAATTAATTATCAATGTAACCTGTGTAAAACTACTGAAAATAAGAGTGATATCGGGAAATGCAAGATTAATGCGTTGTAGCCGATGAGAACACTAGATATGATCATCCTTGGCAGTGGCATAAGGAGGTGCAGTATAAGTACACTTTGCTGCAATTGCCCTTGCCAGTGAATGATTTCTAACAACCACAGTGTAAGAGGATCGAGCAAGCTTTACTGACATCTGCAAGTGTCGTCCAGAATGGCATCAACTCTTGTTTAGCTGAGATCATCTATTCCCCAGTCAGTAGGATCAAGGATCTCTTGATGAAATCGCAGCACCTGACCCGTAATGGAAGCTACCTGAAGAATGGTTAGTCTCATCTGTTGAAATAGGGCTGCTTGGGTAGGTGGGATGTTGTCGAGGGTTCTTCCTCCTCGCGAGAACATCTCCATCTGGGTTTGGTTCACTGTAGTAGATCCCCAAGACTTACTGTAAAGTAGAACAAGTAGGACAATGAAAAGTTCGGTGACATGCATAGGTACAGATTCTATGGTGAAGCATTCGAGAACATGCAATATCTCGAGCAGGCTAGTGAGTTCCGGAAAGGGCTTCCACACTTCCCTAGCTGTCGTCTTTCCAACTCTTTCAAATTGCTATGTACTGTAGTGTCTGAGCTTGTCAGTTCATGTAATAAGGGAAGAGCAAGTCCCATTTTGAGCGAGCTGTGATACTAGCATGCGAATGGGGATACATTGGAAGTGTTTTGCAGTCCAAAATACCACCCATAGTTCCGACAATGATAGATCAGAGAACAATAAGATTGCGACAACTACGACATCAGTGTCCACTGTGCGAAGGTATGTTTTGTCATTGCCATGCCGATCTGCATGTTTGAGGTGGAGGATCCTCATCGTGTCAGTGTTATTCCATGTATTAAGATGTTGCACAGGAGGGCCAAATGGCACGGGTCTTGTGAAAGTATACAACATTTTAATAGTTAAATCGCTAAAATGTATATGTACAATACAAAAAGCGGACATGGGATTGGTTAACTTAATATAACGGTACTTTTAAGTACCTGGGAGTATAGGTAACAAACAACAAATGGAGCAAATTCATTGACTATTTCAGAAAGATGGCTAGGGTTCACATTTCAAGATTTTACATTACACATAATGAATTAAAGTAATTTACTGTGAATATTAATGTCAGTGTGGCACTTTGCATGACAAATGATTAATTAGTATAAAATATACTCGTGTACATTACGGTACATCATAATCTGGATATTGAACATTCAAAGTTCCTGGTTCATCTCTTCAAACAAAGCTACAGTCACAACAATCTAATCCTTACATTCTCTATTCATAAATATTAACAATTACACAACCAATGGTCAACTAAGGTAATCACTAGAGCAGTACTGATATACAAAACCTGAGTAAGTGGTCACCAAGCTTATCAAATGTATGTCTGCCTTCGTTAAAGTCCGGACCGTGTCTGTGTCCTCACCGGCAGCCCGACTGAGAAATCCCAAACTTATCAATATTTAGTGTGAAACTTAATTTGGCTCGTCCTCTACACAAGTCTCAACTATTTTTAACACATTTGTCTTAATACATTACTTTATATAGAGAATTGTATAACAACAATCTCAGAAACAATAACATAATATATCAACAACATCAGATACAATATCACCTTATATCAGTACACTTTACATTCATAACATTTGAAATTCTAACTTTAAACCCAACCGCTAAATCGAGTAAGCATACGAGCACACACGTAGGTAACTACTCAACTACTTGTAACAGTCAGCTTCTTGATGGTTACACAGTTCCAGACTTTCCGTGTCACAGGGTAGTTGTTAGAGGACCTTTTCCACTTATTCAAGAGTGTGAAGTGTTCCGTTTTGTTTTCTGCATTTTTAAGGATGGCACTCGATTCTTTTTGGTTGATGGGCGTGTTGGAGTAATTTTTTCCTTGGATCAACAGAGGCATGAAATCTTGCAAATGGCACTAGCTGCTTCTCTATATATACATCGATGTTGCAGCTCCAGCTGGTTTCTCGTTGAGCCTTTCGAAGTTTTCAGGATAACGGACTTCATACCAGTTCGCAAACGAGTAGCAACAGCTAATGATTTTTTTTTTCATACATGAAAAGCTCATCAATACACACAGGTGGTCGTGATTACAGGGATAGGAACCACTGAGTGACCAAGACCGAGTTGTGTTTGAGACCTCGACCTTTTACACCTTTCTGTTGGTCTGGTACGCGTACTGTCCATTACAATGGATAGTTTAATACTTTAAGTGATGGCCTTTGAGGCATCACTGAAGTGTTTCTTGACGACATCGTTATACATGGCAGATCCGATCTCATGAGCATCTCTTAACAAGTTGGTCACACATTCATCTAGACTTAATTTAGACCAAGGGTAGTAAGGTAAGAACCTGTCATATTATTTTACACCTGTCAGTAATTCATATATTGAGCTTGTGTGCTATTGGCGGTTGTGGAGTCATTATAATATCAGATAAATATGACCTTGGCCTTGAATAATCATGTGAGAGTGACCTTGAATCATTCTAAAACATAGTTATATCGAGCCGAAGATCATCAAATTTGGCAAGGCAGTTTCAGGGATTGAGCGATATTGGTAGTTTAGGGTAAGAACTGACCTTGATCTTATCATGTGACCTTGACCTCGAAACATTCCAAAATATAGTTAGATTGATCGGGCATCCTCAAAACTATCAGAAACGAGCTTGAGATATGACATTTTATGGTTTGGTCTGTGGAATCGAGGCGGCCATTTTGAATTAATTGAAAATGGCCGCCAGAGTGAAGTCCCACCATAGAAATGTTTCTATGTGGCTAAATGTAACTTCATGTCAAATTTCACACTTTCTGCAAGATCTGAACGAATTGGTTGTATTTTAACATTTACCCATCCCACTATGTAGGTGATGGCAGCCAGAGGTTGCCAGCTTTCTTGTAAGGGCGGTGGTGTCATTGAAGAGATGACTCTTTGCATCGCCAAACTTGTTAGTGGTGACGATGACTGTACATCTAGGCCGGATGGGCCTGCTCCTCCCTCCCCCCGTGTCTCCAGCGCTTTTTTCCACATCATTCCTCCTGTTATTTTCTCGAACATAACAGCACCCTGAGGGATATAACTACCATGGAACCTGATGCCTTCCTCTTTACTTGCGTGGGAATGCATTGGCTTCAGTAGTTGTATGATCCGTCTGTTTACTGGCAGCACACCGCTGGAAGATTCCTCTGTGAGAGATATGACCGCCGAAGGCACTTTTCCTACACACATCTCATTGCCAAACTTTCTGGGAGCATCCTCAGTAGCTTGTTTTCCTTCACCTGTAAATTTCAGCCTCTCCTGCAATGTGTTTGCCTCGCATAGTTGATCATCATCTTCATTGGAGCCACATTTTCCCTGCACTTACTCCTTGCATGTATTCTCTAGCAAAATAGATGGGGTATTATTGCCAGTATATGGAGAGCTATTTTGGCCAGGGAGATGTCGTAAGTATCAGGTGAGTGATCTCCCTTATTATTTCTGGAGGCATTTAGGTGGCTTAAAGTGGTTAGTTGGGGACCATCGGGTAACTTCTGAGAAGGCTCCTTTGACCCACGTTTCTGCCTCTTCCCCCGACATGCCTTTCCGATGTGTTGACTGTGTGCCATTCACCTCATGTATGTCTCCTCTTGTTGGCTCAACATTTTCAGGCTGAGTGGGCACACTGCTATCGCTGCTATCGTCCCTTTCCTTCAACTCACACAACAGTGTATATTTCTCACACATACGAGTATACAGATTGTGTATTTTTGTACAAGCCAGAACAGATACACTGGCAAGTTTCCTGTGGCGTTACGCGCTAGCTAGGGAAGGATATGGGAGGATTGGAGATGAATGGAGGGGGAAGTATAACTAAAAGGAGTGTGGGAGTGTGAGAGAGGGGGAGAGAAGGAGGGCTTTAGGCCGGGCCGGGTGTGTACACTCATAGCAAACAACTTGCTGGGCTTTGACTGTGTTAAGGTGTGACACTATCCTGTTGATGGCATCTATAATTTTCACATACCACATCAGATATGTCGGCAATAGCGAGGTAGTAAAGGCTGGCATTGAGGCAGTGGAATATTGGGGAGGCAGGTAGTGTGGGGTAGGTTAGTGGGAGACGGGTGGACAGCGGGTTAGGCCAGAGGCGGCTGGCGGCTAGAACACTTGACCGGCTCAAATTACAAGCCACTGCCCTGTTTGGCACTTGACGACACCAAAGACAGTCAATTAGACTAGGGAAATATTTATAAGATAAAACTGTGATATTTTATTGTGCAGTGCTTGGTTCTTTGGCTAGTATCATATATTATTACGGACCACAGTGTTTATTTATTTTATTTTATTTATTTTTTCTGCTCAGGATCCACATCTAAAGTTTTGAAGAGAAAGTTGAAATTGGCAGGAATATACGGTGTAATATTATTATTATTATTATTATTATTATTATTATTATTATTATTATTATTATTATTATTATTATTATTATTATTATATTATTATTATTATTATTATTATATTATTATTATTATTATTATTATTATTATATTATTATTATTATTATTATTATTATTATTATTATTATTATTATTATTATTATTATTATTATTATTATTATTATTATTATTATTATTATTATTATTATTATTATTATTATTATTATTATTATGTATTATTATTATTATTATTATATTATTATTATTATTAATATTATATTATTATTATTATTATTATTATTATTATTTATTATTATTATATTATTATTATTGTATTATCATTATTATTATTATTATTATTATTATTATTATTATTTTTATTATTATTATTATTATTATTATTATTATTATTATTATTATTATTATTATTATTATTATTATTATTATTAATATTATATATTATTATTATTATTATTATTATTATTATTATTATTATTATTATTATTATTATTATTATTATTATTATTATTATTATTATTATTATTATTATTATTATTATTATTACAATAAGGGATAAAGAATATGAAATTATGGTTTATGGACTATGCCCCTAAATATAAAAAGTACCAACGGCATAATTATAGTGCACGTGAGAGAGAGAGACTGGTTGAGTATGACGTATAAGGAAATAGGTTAGAGATAGACAGATACGCTTATGTTAAGAGACAGAATTAGACTGAGAGATACAGACCGATAGGCTGACTGCAAGTCAGGGACGGATGGAGAGGGAGAGAAAAAACCCACTTAACGATATAAATTGTTAACAAGGTAGAAAAAGAGATAACTGGAGAGATATAGAGACAGTGAGTTAGACAAACCACGATGGAGAAGTGTGTGTCCGGCTCTCATACAGGCAGAGAAACGAACCACCGAGGAATGTTCACAAATACTTCTGTGTTTTCCGTTAAATCATCCATGAAGTTAAAAGATACATTTAGAAAGAGTTATAGCGTGCCATAGCATTGACGTCAATACTTTGAACGTCTCTCATTGGTCAGAGGCGTGAGAACCTAGGAGAGAGAGAGAGAGAGGGGTTGGGGGTATTGAGGGGGGGGCAGTCTCTTGGCTGGTATATAAGACACGGCGGACTTTGCTTCCAGCAGAGTTTTCCGAAAAACGTCCAGCTTAAAACATCTTTCTTCGTAAAATTCTTCTCGCCAAAATTCGGTAAGTCTGTGGCATTACACAAACTGTCATTTTTCTGTAAAGGTAGAGTTTTCCTGATGGAAGTTTTATTTAGATTAATTTACGTTATATTGTGGAATCGAAGCGTTTTGGGTGTGGCTGGAAGTATTTAATGTCGGGCTGATACTTATACAGTATATTTTGTGTTGGTTTACGTAGAGGATGAGATCTTTGCAATATTTTCCTTACGTACAGAATGAGAATGTTATTATCTGGTCTGGTTATTGGTCTGACTTTCCGTGTGTCATCCAGCAGCTTCTTCAACACTAATGTTTCTGAAGACTGCAGGTGCATGAAGAGTATTACAGTAAGAACCAAGTGTGTAGTGCAAGAGTGTTGACTTTTGTAAGCTATAGAGTTGTCTAGTGTTGTAAACACTGAGTGACTGAGGAGTATTTTGACTGAAGTGTACGGTGTTAAAGCTTCTTTAGGTTCATAAAATGTGTGACCGCCTAAAATTATGATAACACTGGGGAGAATGATGAACTTTAAGAAAGAAGTATGTGTTGTGTAGGGTGTGTTAAGTTAATGAACTGTGCTGACCTCTTGCAAAATGTAAACAACAGGAGTGGATGAAGTAAGGAGTTATATAAATGGAAAGTGTTGGGTTTGGTTTCGTCTGTAGAGACAGCATAGCATGTTAAGGAGATGATCAAGTGACATCTTGATAATGAAAATTAATATATTCCTTACTCTTTTGGAAGTGAATGGAGGTACGGTCCTCTCCACTACAGCCTTTACAGTTTCTCGTAAGGTTTTGTTCAGTGTGACAACCCTGTGTTTGTTTACAACCGACAGAAGGAAACTGACAGTAGTAAACAGACTATTGAATCAAAATAATAAAACAATATTAAAACAAATATCTCAAAGATAGTGATTTTTGGAATGTTTTTTATGATGAGATCCTGTAAACGTACTAGTGAAAGGGGACTGTCCATCTGTTGTCATCCTTGTAGTAAATAGAGACAGTGAGCTGTAGTCATATCCTGTTTTTTGAGTAGAGAAAGTGAGTGTTTTCTGTTGCCTTTAGTTACCATAGGAAAAGATTGTGTATTTTGCTACTGACGTATTGTGGTGTCACGGAAGATGTTGATGCATATTACAAATGCCGACGATTTAATGAACTGGTGTTATTGTACCATAGTAATTGTTACAATTAAATTCTGGTAGTTGTTGTAGATATCACACCAGCATTGGTTTGTGATGACGTGTACATATTGGAGAAAGCAAAGTTAAGTGGTGTGGCTCCTTAGAAGGTGTTGCAGATGGCATAGTGACGAGAGGTTGTGGTACTGGAGTGTCATGTGGACTTGTGGGTTGTTGTTGCAGCCCACACTGGTGATGGTAAGGGAGCGTGTGACTGGGGGCGCCCTGCTACTGCTGCGTTTTGTCAGCACCTCCTGCCTGGTCCACCTCACCCATGGCCTACTACAGGTGCCAGACCCCACCACCCATCACTTCTTCCATCACCCTTCACTGTGAGTAGTGCTTCGTGTTCACCTCTCTTCTCCCCCATTCTCGTGTTCAGGTAGAGGTGTTCTCTGTTGCCTATATTCTAATGATCTAGTTAACGCGTCACTATTCCTCTTCTGGTAGAGCTCTCATATACAGTAAGTGTCCTCAACCTCTGTCTCTCTCTCTAGTTAATCTTCTGTTAATGGTGTTTAATTCTCTGGTTAACGTTCACCTTCATTAATCATGAACAAGCACCAGTATAATTTCCACTTTCATTCTTCTCTCAACCTTTACCCCCTGTGCTTATTACCTTCAATAATGTTCAGTGTTCTTACAAGCATTCAATTCATCATCACGCCTCACATTTCTGTCGACTGTTCACCTTTACTGGCATTCATTCAATTTTCTACTAAAGTTAATCTCTGATATATGTTAAATAATATGTTCAGTTTAAATAATTCAATTTTGAAACTGAATAGAAAAAACACCTATAAAGTTAGGCCAATTCACGTAATTTAAAGGATGTATTTAAATAACTCACCCATCTACTTACTTATTTATTTAAGATTTATATTAGTAATCCCGATTTATTCCCAACTAGTTTAACACAAGTAAAACAATTTTTTTTGTCTCCGAGGATGATTGCTTTACTCTTTGAAAAGGGTAGTTTAAACCTGAGGAATTATTATTTTTTAACTCTTAGAAGACAATGGTTTATCCTTTTTACAAAGTTAGATTAGAGTGTAAGCCTTAGAGGCTTAGATTTATGAGGTTTTAACATTTAATTGTGATGATACAGACCATCGTCATCCAATGATTAAGCTATCGACATGTTAGGGTTAACCATCGTCCTCAAAGAGTAGACTATTGCCCTCCAAGGGTTAAACCACCGTTCTCCAATGGTTAAACCATAGTTCCCCAAGTGTTAAACCATCGACTTCAAAGGGTTAAGCCATCGTTCTACAATGGTTAAACCATACTCCCCCAAGGGTTATATCATCGACTTCAAAGGGTTAAACCATTGTACTTAAAGGGCTGACAAGTAATCGGTACAACATGCACAAAACAGAACCCAAACATCATCACTAATCCACATTTCCAGGCCCGGTGGTTCCGACCCTGTTGAGGACAACAATGCACCTGGCGACCACGTCAACATCGGGGAAACTTCGCCAGGGTTTCAGGATGCCTCTGGTCGAAGACATCGTGACCCGAGTGTTCGTCGTCTGGTAAAAGGAAAAGAATTCGAAGAGCGAGGCCAAGGGGTCAGAGGGGCACTTGTCGACAATCGACTTACGAGGGAGGGTGATGTCGAGGTTCGTCTTGCTGGTCGACGAGACAGATATTCTGATGGTCGCTATGCAGCTCGTCTTGCTGAAGGCCGTAGTTTTGATGCCCGACTTTCTGAAGGCCACCAACTTCATGCCCGACGTGCTGAAGGCCGCCGACTTGATACACGACTTGCTGAAGGACGAGGACTTGATGCTCGACTTGTTGAAGGCCGCCGCCTACATGTCCAATATGATAAAATTCGAAGACTTGATGCCCGACTTTCCGAAGGTCGACAACTTCACGGCCGAATTGGTGAAGAGCGATATCTTGATGCCAGACAAGTCAAAGAGCAACGACTACTCAACAAGATCGCTGAACGAAGACTGTTCGCCCATAAAAGATCTGATACACACCTTCGTGGTGGACAATTTATTGATAAACAACCTGACACAAGGAAGGCTGAAGAACGTCGTCTTGACACAAAGAGAAATTCTGAAGAACGACGTCTTGGCACAAGGAGGAACTCTGAAGAACTTCTTGACACAAGCAGGAACACTGAAGAACGACGTCTTGACACAGGAAGGAACACTGAAGAACGGCTCCTTGACACAAGGAGGAACACTGGAGAACAACGCATTGACACAAGGAGAAACTCTGAAAATCGGCGGTTTGACACAAGGAGGAACTCTGCAGAACGACGCCTTGACACAAGGAAGCACACTGAAGAACGGCGCCTTGACACAAGGATAAACTCTGAAGAACGCCGCCTTGACACAAAAAGGAACTCTGAAAAACAACGCCTTGACGCAAAGAGGAACACTGAAGAACGGCACCGTGACACAAGGAATAACAGTGAAGAACGACGCCTTGACACAGAGAGGAACTCTGAAGAACGTCGCCTTGATACAAAGAAAAACATTGAAGAAAGTCGCCTTGATACAAGGAAGAACACTGAAGAACGTCGCCTTGACACAAAGAGGAACTCTGAAAAACGACGCCTTGACACAGGAAGGAACACTGAAGAACGGCTCCTTGACACAAGGAGGAACACTGGAGAAGAACGCATTGACACAAGGAGAAACTCTGAAAATCGGCGGCTTGACACAAGGAGGAACTCTGCAGAACGACGCCTTAACGCAAAGAGGAACACTGAAGAACGGCGCCTTGACACTAGGAATAACAGTGAAGAACGACGCCTTGACACAAAAAGGAACTCTAAAGAAAGACGCCTTGACACAGGAAGAATCACTGAAGAACGGCGCCTTGACACAAGGGAGAGCTCTGAAGAACGACACCTTGACGCAAGGAGGAACTCTGAAGAACGTCGCCTTAACACAGGAAGGAACTCTGAAGAACGTCTCCTTAACACAAGAAGGAGCTCTGAAGAACGTCGTCTTGACACAAAGAGGAACTCTGAAGAACGACGCCTTGACACAGGAAGGAACAGTGAAGAACGGCACCTTGACACAAGGGTTAACTCTGAAGAACGTCGCCTTGACACTAGGAGGAAGTCTGAAGAACGTCGCTTTAGCACACGGAGGAACTCTGAAGAACGTCGTCTTGACACAAGGAGAGCAGAAGAACGTCACCTTGACACGTGGAGGAATACTGAAGAACGTCCCATTGACACAAGAAGGAATACTGAAGAACGTCGCCTTGACGCAAGGAGAAACACTGAAGAGCGTCGCTTTGACGCGTGGAATAATGCTGAAGAACGGCGCCTTGACACAAGGAAGAACACCGAAGAAAGACGCCTTGACACAATAAGGAACACTGAAGAACGTCACCTTGACACAAGAAGGAACACCGAAGAACGTCGCTTTAACACAAGGATGAATACTGAAGAACGTCGCTTTGACACAAGAAGGAACACAGAAGAACGTTGCCATGACACAAAGAGGAATACTGAAGAACGTCGCCTTGACACAAGAAGGAATACTGAAGAACGTCCCCTTGACACAAGAAGGAATACTGAAGAACGTCGCCTTGATACAAGGAGGAATACTGTAAAACGTCACATTGACACATGGATGAATACTGAAGAACGTCGCCTTGACACAAGAAAGAATACTGAAAAACGTCGCCTTGACACAAGGAGGAATACTGAAGAACGTCGCCCTGTAACGAGAATTATTACCGAAGAACGTACTCTTGACACAAGAAGGAATACTGAAGAACGTCGCCTTGTCACAAGGAGGGATACCGAAGAACGTCTCCTGAAAAGTAGGAGAGCTGAAGAACGGTGCCTTGACACAAGGAGGAATATAGAAGAACGTTGCCTTAACAGTAGGAGAGCTGAAGAACGGCGTCTTGACACAAGGAGGAATACTGAGGAACTTCGCTTTGACACAAAAAGGTACAGTGAAGAACGGCGCCTTGATGCAAGGAAGAACACTGAAGAACGACACCTTGACACAAGGAGGAGCTCTGAAGAACGTCGCCTTGACACAAAGAGGAACTCTCAAGAGCGCCGCCTTGACACAGGAAGGAACACTGAAGAACGGCTCCTTGACACAAGGAGGAACTCTGCAGAACGACGCCTTGACACAAGGAAGAACACTGAAGAACGACTCCTTGACACAAGGAGAAACTCTGAAGAACGTCGCCTTGACACAAGGAGGAATTCTGAAGAACGACGCCTTGACACAAAGAGGAACACTGAAGAACGGCGCCTTGAAACAAGGAAGAACAGTGAAGAACGACGCCTTGAAAGAAGTGGGAACTCTGAAGAACGTCGCTTTGACACAAAGAGGAACTCTAAAGATCGACGCCTTGACACAAGGAGGAACCCTGAAGAACGTCGCCTTAACACAAGGAGGAACTCTGAAGAACGGCGCTTTGACACAGGAAGGAACACTGAAGAACGGCGCCTTGACACAAGGGGGAACTCTAAAGAACGTCGCTTTGACACTAGGAGGAACTCTGAAGAACGTCGCCTTAGCACACGGAGGAACTCTGAAGAACGTCGTCTTGACACAAGAAGGAATACTGAACATCGTCGCCTTGACGCAAGGAGAAACACTGAAGAACGTTGCTTTGACACGTGGAGTAATGCTGGAGAACGGCGCCTTGATACAAGGAAGAACAATGAAGAACGACGCCTTGACACAAGGCGTAGCATTGAAGAACATCGCCTTGACACAAGAAGGAACACTGAAAAACGTCACCTTGACGCAAAGAGAAATACCGAAGAACGTCGCCTTTACACAGGGAGGAATACTGAAGAACGTCGATTTGATACAGGAAGGAATACTGAAGAACGTCGCCTTGACAGAAGGATGAATACTGGAGAACGTCGCCTTGACACAAGAAGGAATGCTGAAGAACGTTTCCTTGACGCAAGAATGAATACTGAAGAACGTCGCCTTGACGCAAGGAGGAATGCTGAAGAACGTCGCTTTGACACAAGAAGTAATGCTGAAGAACGTCGCTTTGACACAAGGAGGAATACTGAAGAACGTCGCCTTGACACAAGGAGGAATACCGAAGAACGTCACCTCAACAGTAGGAGAGCTGAAGAACGGAGCCTTGACAGAAGGATGAATACTGAAGAATTTCGCCTTGACACAAAAAGGTATAGTGAAGAACGTCGCCTTGACACAAGAAGGAATACTGATCTACGTAGCCTTGACTCAAGGAAAGCTGAAGAACGTCGCCATGACACGAGAAGGGATACTGAAGAACGACGCCTTGACACAAGGAGGACAACAGAAGAACGTCGCCTTGACAGAAGGAGGAATACCGAAGAACGTCTTCTTGAAACAAGGATAAATACTGAAGAACGTCGCCTTGAAACAAGGAGAAATACTGAAGAACGTCTCTTTGATACAAGGATGAATACCGAAGAACGTCGCCTTGGCACAAGAAGGAATATTGAAGAACGTCGCCTTGACACAAGGAGGATTTCTGATGAACGTCTCCTTGACACAAGAAGGAACACTGAAGAACGTCTAATTGACACAAGGAGGAATACTAAAGAACGTCACCCTGACAGAAGGAGGAATACCGAAGAACGTCTCCTTGAAACAAGGACGAATACCAAAGAACGTCGCCTTGATACAAGGAGGAATACTGAAGAACGTCACCTTGAAACAAGGAGGAATACTGAAGAACGTCGCCTTGAAGGTCGTCGCCTTGACACAAGGAGAGTCGACCTCTTTATCCCAAGGAACTGTGAAGGCAGTAGCCTTGACACAAGGAGAGCGGAAGAATGTCGCTTTGACACAAGGTCGTCGTTGGTTCATAGCACAAACAGGAAGGTTCCTGGAGAGCTGCTGCTTCAAGGCTACAAGTTGTCCGTGGCGCCAGTTTCCTCCTTGTTGGAAGTAGCACCCAAGACACAGCACCCTCACTTATTGCTAGACGATGTCACCTTTATGAAGTCCCAAGTGAGTACTGTACCTTTATCTGGCCACACATTGTATGAATGTATACAGTATATTGCCATGTTGTTTCATAATTTTGTAATATTTAGTATGTACCAGTATTGTATACAGACCTACTCTGTTATACGCCAAATATCACCTTTGAAATTCATCCCAAGTTGATTTTTCTTTCATCACTGTGCTCACAATACCCCAAACCCGAGAGACACCGAGGCTTCCTGATGCGCACTTCATACTTCACCTGACATTGTTTTGTTATTGATTGTTCTCTGTGTCTGACGGAACCAAACTTCATTGTCTTGCAATTCCCTATGGTGTTTATAGCTAAAGTCTTACTAATAATATTTTTCTAACTCACTACTTATTGGTAGATGGATAATTTTGAAGGTATAAGGACTTAATGATTTTTTGACTGCCTTTTTTAAGTTTCCAGTAAGTTAATGTTTACATTAAGAAAGTCTGAAACAACAGTATTGTATAAGGATTACGACTTAGTAATTCCTCTAAGGTTCAATTTACTTTTGTATAAAAACATTAATGTGTTAAACAAAGGGGCGCATCGTAAACTGCGCGCTTTATAACCATTCAGAGGTTCTAAAAGCAATAGTTGTGTTAAGTAGACGGTAAATTATTCTTGTTACTATTCGTTTGCTGTCCATTGTTGAAGTGAACACGGATCATCACCAGTCTCACGTGCTTTATAACGTCACATTCATCAATTTGACTCACATCTTCATCATAATTTTTTAAAGAACATCGTAAATATTGCTATCCCGTTTTCTATTCAATACCGGCCGCCACGAGAACGACTCCTGCACGATTTTCGACGCTAAACGGCTGATGACGTTCCCAAAAGGTCGGAACAACTCTCTCCTGCACCTGACTTCACTTTCACTATCCCCAGGTCGCTGTACGCGCACCTGGAACCAGTATAATCATCTTTACATTGTCTCTTGAAGACATTGGTCAATATCATAGTCAATAAAAGGATGTAGAGTTGTTGTTGGTCTTTAATGTTAGATAATGTAGTAATTCGTGTACTTTTGGATTGATGTAACTCGCCGTAAGACTAGAAAGATACTTCTTGTACCTGGGGTATGCTTGCAATCTGGCACTCTCTATTGATGTGATCTCTTGGGGACTACTTATCTGTCCTTGAGTATAGTATATGCATGCTTATAATAATAGCTACTGTACAGCGCATATATGGTATACAATAAAATGGTGCCACGTCAAAAATTTAGTTATTGAACCTTGTCTGTTGTATTTAAGGAGCCATGGTTTGATGTGAGAATTCATGTAAATGGCTCTCTTCAGCTTTTAATTTTGATGAATTCTTAAAGGTTCTTAATGTTCAACTTTACCTTAGGTAAGAATGTGAAAATTTATTCATCCTGTCTCACCAGCTAAAAGATCATGTGAATTCCCAAAGGCTATTAATTTAAAAAATTCCCTTAACTGAAGATGTAAGAATGTGTTAACACTGATCACGTTCGTCATAGTCGACACAAATACACCATATAAAACGACGTCGTAATTGTACCATGACTTTATTTATACTTGAGTGGCAAAACTTGATGTTAGAATATTTCAATATCTTAACGCACCTAGTTACGAGGTGTCAACCTGTAAATGATAAACGGAATACATATTCGTGTCGTAACTAAGATGATATTCTTTCGTCACCAGCAAAGAAAAAATACACGAGTTTCTAAGAATTTAAAACCAATTCAATGTGAGGGGAAACTTGGACTTTTCATCACTGTGAAATTCATGATCTTATAACTGAAAAAAAGCAAAAGCGCAACAGGATGGGTAAATTATCAGTGTGTGGAGGTGAGGTTTGACACCATATGAGTGATGCTCACCTGAGGTGGGCATGAAGTGAGTATTGATCAGCTGAAGCGAGCAACAAGTGAGTGGTGGTACAAATGACGTGAGACCAGGTACAGAAAGTGGTGATCAGCGAAGGTTGGTACCAAGTTAATGGTCACCAGGTGTAGTGTGCAGCAAGCTTAATAATGAAACTACTACTTCTAATACTACTACTACTTTTACTACTATTACTAGTAGTCGTACTGAACGGAAGCTGCAGCGCAGATGTTACATTACATTCTGGTTGAGATGTCGACTGTCCTTCTTTCCGCTTAGGTCTGCATATGTCTGCATCAAGGGAACGAGATCATCGGCCACAAAGCCGACAACGGTCGCAGATATTGACTATGAGGCAACAGTTACTTAATGCCTTATACTGTAGATCTGACGCTCAACTAACTCAACATAGCTAGGGTAGCTATTTTTGTATTAGGATATTAAATTTTAAGGCAATAAAATGGTTGCGAGGGTGTGGCTATTTGGGGAGGCTGGAGGCCTCGTTAAAAAAATTCAATAACTCCTACTACTACTACTACTACTACTACTACTATTTTTTGTTTTTAAAGCCTCCAACCTCCCATTAAAGCCACACTTTCACCACGATTTTATTACCTAAATATCATAATGTGAAAGTAATTACCCTTGCTGAGTAAGTTAGGCCGCAGATGTATGCGGTATTCAGTGACTGAGTCTTCATAGTTAATTTCTTTGAATGTTGTTGGCTTAGGGCCGATGATCTTGTTTCTCTTAGGCAAAGCAATATAGACTTAAGTAAAGAGAAAGACAGACGACATCTCAACCAGGCTGCACCTTTAGCTTCTCCGCTGCTCCTTCTGTTCAGATAACACCTCGGCCAGTCTTGTGTAGAAGCATCATGTACTTGGTTCCATCCCGCCAGACGTTGTGAACATCAGAAGAGTGAAGCTACCTTGATCCACATTCTGAATTCTCTTCACACATGCCCTCTTCTTGTTGTTTTCGTTCCTCTTCTGTGCAGCTTTGAGAGAAACATCACGGTGAAATGCGGCCTTGAGGTCGAATATCCTAATATCAAAGAAAGCTCGTTGTTCCTGCGTCCAGAATCCTCAAGCACTGACGTCCACTCGGGCTTCATTGAACGTGTTCGAAGTCCAGTAATGGATATTTTAACCGTCCAATGGAAAAAGGGACGGTTTCACCGTGACGTCGTGGCAGATTTCTTCCAGCATATTCGCTGTGAGATCCCTTACTTCGTCATGCCTCATGCATACGAAGACACCCTTCTTGCACACAAGGCGTGGTCATTGTCGTAGGATGAGCTGCACAGACATTGGGTGGGCATACCTTCTACTGGCCAACCATACTTTAGAGCAATTGCATCTGTAAATTGCTGCATCAATTCTTGAAGTTTATCACTTTGGGTGTGCTGCCGTTCTATCGTAATGGAACGTCGAATCTTATTTAATTCATTGGTATCTACCTCACTTATTGCATTTTTAGCGACTATATTTTCAGTGAGGGCAGCCGTGAGCTTGATGGAGTTCTGATGTTCAGTGGCAGCAAGCTCCTCTGGATTAGTAATTCTCATTCCTTCCAGTGTTGGTGGTAGTGCAAGGAGTGACCTTTCTGCTGGGATTAAGTGAAGGCTTCCCACTAGAGCTGGAGTAAAAGCGATCGTGATGGCGTCTTCCAGAGGGTGGAGGGTGGTATTGGGGATAGTGTGGATCAAGTAGCTCCAGCGATGCTTGACCCTGTGGGTGAATGCCGCAAACACCACATGTGGCTCAATTTTAGCAATGTCAGACAAAGCTTGGATTTCGTTCACCCACTCAATTACCTTTCCCATTACGTGATCGATCTTGAAATTATTCGTGCCGATTACCGCAGCTAGATATCTTTGACAATACTTTGTTTCTTATCTCACTTCCGTTGAAGATCTCTATAGCGCTATCATGGTATACGGGTTTTACATTGAGGAAGGACTTGCTGACATTTGGGTGGTGCACCTTTTCTGGACCACGCAATATTACCAGGTCCCACCACTTTTTGATGTCCTTCACCTTTCCTGCTCCTGTAAGGTAATCAGCATATGTCACTTGCTTGATCTTGGTTGTTTCATAGTTTATTGACTATTGGAGCACGGATAGGCCTAGTGCGTAGATTGCCAATGTGACTGGGTCCCCTTACGTTGTTTCCTCAGTTGACTGTATGGTGGTATCGCCTCTTAGGGCCTTGAAGCTAGGACACATATTCTTGATGTTGTGCAGTGAAAGCTTGCAGTTGATTATGTTGAATGCATTGCAAGCATCAACCACGAGTACAGCATCATAATTAAGCTGCTCAAATATCTTCCTCATAGTGTGAATGGCAGCTAAACCCCCACTCTGGTGGCCAGCACATACTTGCAGGTTCCCTGCTGCTGCCCTTACATCATCATAACCAGCCTCCATTACGCATTTTCCAATGATTCGTCGTAGCACTTAACCCAGCCCTACAGGCCTGTATCCAGGATTTATGTCCAGGTGGATGAGGTAGTTTGGCTGTAAGAGCTTGTTAGTAGGGTGGATTAATGCAAAAATCGTTCAGATCTTACAGGAAGTGTGAAATTTGGCATGAAGTTACCCTTTGCCACAAATAAATATTTCCAGGGTGGGAAAATGCTGGGACTTCACTCTGGTGGCCATTTTGAGCAAATTCAAAATGGCCGACTTGATTCCTCAGCCCAAACTATAAAATACCATATCTCAGGATCGTTTCTTATTGTTTTAGGCATGCCTGATCAATCTAACTGTGTTTTGGAATGTTTCGAGGTCAAGGTCACATGATAATTTAAGGTCAATGTCATTTTGACTCTCAAATACCTCTATTGCTCAATTTCTGAAACTTCTGGGAAAAAATTGATTATCTTGGCTTGTTTATTGTAGTTTTGAGGATATCTGATCGAAATTACTATAATTTCGGAAAGATTCAAGGTCACCATTGCAAGACAATTCAAGGTCAAGGTCATATTTGACCCTAGAACGCCTATGTATTAAAGGTGTCACAGTTGTCAGATTTCATAGGTTCATGGCTAAAGTCGTTAGTAAGTCAGAACTTCGCGGTTGTAGATGCAGTACTTGTTTGGTTTGAAGTTGAATTAATTATCAATGTAACCTGTGTAAAATTACTGAAAATAAGAGAGATATCGGGAAATGTAAGATTAATGCGTTGTAGCCGATGAGAACACTAGATAAGATCATCCTTGGCAGTGGCATAAGGAGGTGCAGTATAAGTACACTTTGTTGCTTTCCACTTGCCAGTGAATGATTTCTTACAACCACAGTGTAAGAGGATCGAGCAAGCTTTACTGACTTCTGCAAGTGTCGTCCAGAATGGCATCAACTCATGTTTAGCTGAGATCATCTATTCCCCAGTCAGTAGGATCAAGGATCTCTTGATGAAGTCGCAGCACCTGACCCCTAAAGGAAGCTATCTGAAGAATGGTTCGACTCATCTGTTGAAATAGGGCTGCTTGGGTAGGTGGGATGTTGTCGAGGGTTCTTCCTCCTCGCGAGAACATCTCCATCTGGGTTTGGTTCACTGTAGTAGATCCCCAAGACTTACTGTAAAGTAGAACAAGTAGGACAATGAAAAGTTCGGTGACATGCATAGGTACAGATTCTATGGTGAAACATTCGAGAACATGCAATATCTCGAGCAGGCTAGTGAGTTCCGGAAAGGGCTTCCACACTTCCCTAGCTGTCGTCTTTCCAACTCTTTCAAATTGCTATGTACTGTAGTGTCTAAGCTTGTCAGTTCATGTAATTAGGGAAGAGCAAGTCCCAATTTTGAGCGAGCTGTGATACTAGCACGCGAATGGGGATACATTGGAAGTGTTTTGCAGTCCAAAATACCACCCATAGTTTCGACAATGATAGATCAGAGAACAATAAGATTGCGACAACTACGACATCAGTGTCCACTGTGCGAAGGTATGTTTTGTCATTGCCATGCCGATCTGCATGTTTGAGGTGGAGGATCCTCATCGTGTCAGTGTTATTCCATGTATTAAGATGTTGCACAGGAGGGCCAAATGGCACGGGTCTTGTGAAAGTATACAACATTTTAATAGTTAAATCGCTAAAATGTATATGTACAATACAAAAAGCGGACATGGGATTGGTTAACTTAATATAACGGTACTTTTAAGTACCTGGGAGTATAGGTAACAAACAACAAATGGAGCAAATTCATTGACTATTTCAGAAAGATGGCTAGGGTTCACATTTCAAGATTTTACATTACACATAATGAATTAAAGTAATTTACTGTGAATAATAATGTCAGTGTGGCACTTTGCATGACAAATGATTAATTAATATAACATATATTCGTGTACATTACGGTACATCATAATCTGGACATTGAACATTCAAAGTTCCTGGTTCATCTCTTCAAACAATGCTACAGTCACAACAATCTAATCCTTACATTCTCTATTCATAAATATAACACAATTACACAACCAATGGTCAACTAAGGTAATCACTAGAGCAGTACTGATATACAAAACCTGAGTAAGTGGTCACCAAGC